AAAGACATCTTGTCTAATGTAATTTTAGCCATCACCCTGTTTCTCCTTTACTTACTTTCATTAGATGAAATGTAAATTCTTTTGCAAAATCTTCTGTAATTAAGGTCTTTTTCTTGTGTTTCTGTTGAACGCTTGTGTTAGTTGTTGGATATGTTTACTTAGACAAGTGAAGAACACAACAACAATGGTCAAAGAAGCGTCTCTTCATTCTAAAAAACCTGAAGTGCTGTAAGACTACAGTGGAAAGCAATATACAATGAATATTGTCTGCATCATTGTTGATAGTAACACTTTATTTCAGCTCTATTCTGTTTATCAAATTAATAAGTGTTACCTACAAGCTGCATTCAGACAAAAACTAGGGAAGAAGTATAAGTTCTTACATCAGAGCTGCAGAGAATCTGGCTATGGGTATTGATAGCTAAGCTATCAAATTGCCTTTGAATTTAAAAGAGAGAAAAGTCATATTCCAGAATACTACTTTCATTGTAAGAGATGGTTAGTTGTTAAAGCCACTAAATATAAGCTACAAATTGGCAGCTGAAAGTTTATTTTTTTTGGCTGAATTGTAGGGATTTTTTTAGCCTCATACCTCTCTGCTTAGCTAAATGGTATAAATAGAGGATAAATTATTTTTAATTCAATCAAGTAGGTGCCCCTTAGAAGCAGGGACAATACTGAAAAATACACTGTGTTCCTGTGTTTTAGTTCTGGACTGAAACCTTGCCAGAAACATGCCTCTTGAACATTTGCCTTTTTTATAATCCAAATTACAGTTAAGGGATGAAAACTGCAGTGTCCTGGCAGTGTTGATTTACAGACGTTGAGTCTAAAGGAGTCCAGAGCCAGTGGGGTGTAAACTGACCCTGCCAAGGAGAAGTGGTGTAATAAAGAGCACAAGAGAAATCCACAATTATTTTTTCCCCAAAGAGAGGTATTATATTAGGACATCAAATTGCACACATCAATAAAGTAATTTTGTGACCGTAGTAGAGGAGGGCAGTTGGATTAAAGACTGAATTCTTGTTTGTGCTGGAGGATTTTTGCCAGTTACAGCGTTACACACTCAGGCTCTTTCTGAGTTTGGTGTGGAGGTTCTTCATTTCCAGCTGTACATAATTACCATCACACTTGCTATAGCATCTGTATTACGAGTAATTAAACTGTAAGGCAAGACAATGCAAAGAACATCTTGATCAAATTACAATGTTGGATGAGACAAGAAAAAACTAACCCCAAACTGGACATTAAGGGAAGCTCCGATAATATACATAGAGGAAATTATATTGCTTTGAAACTACAACAGGACATAGACCTGATAAGAGGCTCTGGCAGGACTTCAACATCTGGCAGTTCTAGACAACTCATTTTAGTTACTTATATTTCTATCTTCTGCTTAAAAAAGAAATTATTTTTTTTCTGAAAGGATACTTAGCGGCAGTTATTATTTTTGAAAGTGTATTTGGAAGATGATTATAAATCTCTACTGAGGCTAGTTGCTAATTTACTATCCCCTGCTGTATTTCAGAGATTTCAGATAAACTCTAAGTTTTTTAGTAACAAAAATGAAAATTGAAAAACTGCATTTGCTCCATGGCAATATGCATGTAATAAATTACAAAGTTGTGCATAAAATGCTGAGACATCTGCTTTCCTGCTTCACATCATTGGATTAAGTTTTCTTCTACAATCACAGGGGGTAGATATGTTGATTGTTATGTTGATTTTCACAGTCATCATGTTTCCAATTTCTTATGAAATGCTTTCTTATATTTTGAGAAAGTGCACTGCCAAAGAGCCAGAGGTTACTAGTGTAGGCTTTGGCATGCACACAGATAGCTGAAAGCAATAAAAAGAGACATTCAAAGTGAAAGGCATTTGTTTTCGTATTGTTGTTTTGGTTTCACTGATTTATGGATATGCATTAAAACAGATCAATGTCCATATAGCCATATGTTACGTGATAGTCATAAAACAGAGGGATCAAAATGCAGAGATTTTATTTTGGGCAGTGTACAGATGGCATAGTGTCCGTTGTAGATCTGGTGGTGACCACAAGTTCCCCATTTTGATACAGTGAATTTGTAGACCAACAAAGCTTCCCTAAAGCGTGCTTATAGTTCCATTTTTAAGAGTATTTTGAAACTTGAATGGTCCAAAAGTGTTATCAGGAAGGTAATGGAGCTATAGATATTTCTTATTTCTCAAGAATATTCTTTGTCTGAAGAAATACTTTTTTTGTTTTTCAAGAACAGAGCTGTATGACAGTTGCATAAAATCAGTCATTACCATTAACTCACTTTTTCCTCTGTTGGCTCTGGTAAAACTAGTTCTTTTCTGATTTCTGACTGACTTTGTGCTCAACAGAGTTTTCTTACTATTTTTATGGTTTTCCTGCTTTAGAAAAACAAAGTGCAGCACATGCCATAGTAGTAATGCCCTTGGAAAAAATGCTTCATTTCCCACTGTCAAATAATTCCATTTGATTGTGAAGGTTTGACATGATGCTATTTCTCCATAACATGTTAAAACTTCCAGAACTCTTTTTGCCAACAAGCTGCCCATGGCTCTGCTGTCCTCCTCAAAGCCCGCTCTTGGCCTGGGATAATGAGCAAAGTTTTCAGCTTTTATTTTATTTGGCTTTCAATAAAATCTTGCAAGCTTTGGTGGTTAAACTCCTTTACACGTATGAGTATATATTTGACCAAACTGTCTTCACCAGACGCAATAGTATGTTAGGAATTAAGTTAAACTCTACTTTCCCGGGCCATGTCCTGGGCCTAATTACAGTAGAGTATGCTTTAATGAGGGTTCTCCTAAGGTATCTCTGCCTGATATGGCAAACAGCCCAGAGGCAAACTTCAGATCCCAGTGTCAAGAACTGATTAATTGCTTGTCTGCAATTAACAGCTGGGCTTAAGGGTCTGGATAAAAAACTAGAGTAAGAGTCTCTTTCAGCTCATTTGTTGAATCCAGAGTTGTTGACCTTTTCCACTGCAGATATAACTCAAAGGCCAATTATCATAGTTTTATCTTGTAGCAGATAGTGCACAAAGTATGGACGGAGCAGACAATGTTGATTAAATTTACTCAAAGTCTTTAAATTAGTTGCACATCAAAGAATAGTTTTACCTTAGGGTAAAAAGAGTGATAGATCACTGTATATATAAATGAACTTTGCCATCTTTCTTTTTAATTGTTTGAACCTGTGAGAGCTAATGCCAAGGCTGCTTTGTTTGTGTCCCCCTTCATTCTCATGCCGTGTTTTGCATTTTCCAAAACAACGAAGAAGAGAAACTGTTGTAGTATACCGTATGAAATGTAATTACTAATGATAATACTGGACAAGAATAATGCAGCTTCTCCTCCTAAAAGCTTTATTGTTCATTGCAAACAAAATTCACACCCCAAGAAAGAGGGGGAGAAAACACTAAAGGAAACCTTCTTTTGTAGATCTGCATCGTTTAATTAAAAAAATCATTGGCCTTGGCTAGCTCTCAAGGCAAACGTCACAGCATCACATAATGCTGGCTGCAGGAACAGGCTCGTATTCCCCTGGTACAGGCTGTTACACAGCCTGACCTAAATACTATGAAAAACTGCAATAGTGACCTGGTTATGAGTTGGGAGATTTTGTTTGAGAGACTTTTCTCAGATATAGTAGTGCACTCAGTAGCTTTTGGGAAAAAAATCTGTCAATTTACAGTACAAAATAAGACATTTTTGCCTCCTGTGTAGTTGTAGTGATAACAGCCAATTCAAAACATCTTTTGGGAGACCTTTTTTCCTACCCTCTGTAGATGTTTGAATGTGTAATTTATGAAATAGTCTTATGTTTAGCACCTTTCCGTCTTTCTTTGATACTACTGTTTCAAACATTCATGTTCTCTTTCATTAAATAGCTAAAGTTCAAGTGGTTTAAATCTTATTTTTTCAAACTAGAGAATAGCATTACTCACATACCAGAAGGCTAAGTAATGTCTGGGATTTATTAAATCATTCAGCAAAGTTGACCACAGACAGTTGCATATAGAACAAATGCTGGAAGAAAAATAATCTTCTCTGATGATGTTCATTATACTATTAACACACACAGACTGAAAGCCAAAGACTTGGTATCATTTCTGTCCCTACAATTAATATATTTCTTTTTAGACCTTTAACTATCTTGATATTTTTGGTCAGAGAAGGTTTGAGTACAAAGGAAACATGTAGTCTTAGATCATATGAATGATAAAAAAAAAGCCAAGTTTAATGTTAATTTTATGTCTTGGTAAAACAGCTGTGGGTTTTAAAAAGGTAAATAATTATAGGTGACTTTACTGCCAACTTAGCGTTATTGCATGCTTCTTCAAATCTTACATTTCAGGTGTATTTGTAAAATTCTGTTGTTGTTATATTCAGCACAAGGAGCATAATTGGAATTGGAATTGGGTATTTTTTTGCATCTGTTCCTATTATTCCACAAACTTTATGAGTTTGTTTTATCAACCTTTCACAGATAAGGTGCTAGTTGTAAAAAATCAAAAATATTAAAATGGATGTTATTGACCAGACAATGCTAACCTAAAGTGTCAGAAGTAACTGAACAGATGTTCTTGGAAATTCCAGGTCCTTACCATTTTCTGAACACCAAACTAATTTTAAAATCATAAAATGAGTATCCAAAAATTGAGCAAAGGGAACAGGAAGTAACTATTTGCTGTGAAAGACTATAATCTGTAAGTTATGTATTATTTACTCTCAGGAGCAAAAGATCATCAAACAAAATGACTATGGAAATTCCATAATAAAAGAAAAAAGTCATACAAACTTACTTCTGCTACAGTGTATCCTCTTGATTTCGTTGGTTTTTTGGTTTATAGAGTTACAACCCAGGAAAAATTTTAAACTTTGCTTTGCCTTTTTAAATTGTTTGCTCATAGAAGGATATTTGTTATGTGGATTAAGTGGTTTGTGAGTAGGATTGGATAATACATAATTATGTTTTAATTTTTTAGAAGACTGTGGGATGTATTTCCCAGAAGTAAAAAATAATCCAGACAAATATTTACAAAGATGTCCCGAGTCTGTAAAAAAGTGGCTGAAACAACTGAAGAATGCTGGGAAGATTCTGCTATTAATTACTAGTTCTCACAGTGACTACTGCAGACTCCTGTGTGAACATATTATTGGGTAAGTACAATGTCCATTTGAAATTATATCTGCCAGTCAGCAACTGGAGATAAGCCTGAGGGAAGTTAATTTGAGTTCCTTTATGTGTTATGGATTATTTGGATCTGAGGTTTCTGGTGTTAATCTCTCTCGTAGAGTGTAACAGAGAACCTGAGACAAAGTAGACTATAAGCCTGTGAGCTGTTGTCTGACCCACAGCACGCTTATATCCTGCATCTTCTCTGGGCATCAGATGGGATTGAAGATTACAGGGTGTATCTTTCAGGCCAACACCCAATTGGGGGCATCATCTAAATCCCAATTTTATCATAAGTTTTTATTAGACTGCCTTATTAAAGCCACTCCCTTTCCGTGCTCCTCAAGCGGTGAATGCAAGTAGTAGTAAAATTTCATTTCCTTGCAGTAAATCTGCATGGAAAAGCTTACAAATACTGCTTCCCAGTGGTGGCTTCCAAGAGATGGTGGTGCATTTACAGATCACAGCAGAAAAGATAAAACAGATAGTTGATTGCACTTGGTAATTGGTTGAGATTGCAGCTGCTGATGCCAACAGCTGTTTTCTATCTGTAATGTGTAAGAACATGACTGGTCAGATGAAACTCGTTGAAATGCAGCAGAACCATCACCTACACCCCTAGAAACCAATTAATCAGTGATGCAAATAGCTGGGTGGGTGACACTGTGAGGCTATTCAATAAATAAATCAAAGAAACAAAGTAGTGCAATGTGAGCCAGCCTTGGCTGTCAGAGTATGCAGGGGCACAGCAAGGGAATACAGCAGTACTGTAAGAAAAACACAGGTAAGATGAAAAGCAGAATTACCTTCCAAAACCAGTCTTGCCAGTATCACTTCTCTTTTGTACTCTCTAAATGCTAAATAGAGCATCAGTTTTGCCAGTGCTCACTGCCTTGCTTGAACGTTATACTTTCTCATTTGAGGGGAAAATCTACCTCCTCACAAATGAGTAAGATATCTGTGAATTAACTATTTTGTGTAGATCTATCTAGTTGTTTTCTGAAAAGAAAATTTGGTATAAACATAAATCCTTGCCCACATATAATAATTTTGGCTTTCTTTTCCTTGGTGAATAATGTTTCAGATGTTTAAAGCAGCTGTAGAGATCCTGCTGGAAGAGAATATGAAAGGTAGCAGAGCGGGTCAGTTACCTTTCAAAAGACAGAAAAGAGATGTTCTGCTAGAAGGATACTGGATTGCTCTCTATTCCTACATAAGTGTAGGATGTTCTACAGTGTTTATTGCAATCATATTTTCCAGTGACTCATGCAATGTGGCTTCTGAGACATCGTCTCAGGCACTGAGTACTCCACTGTCCATTAGACCTTACTGAAATACTGTTTGCCTGAAAATAATTCTAAACTTTTTATTTCTTTTGTTTGTTCATGTCTCTTATGTCAGACAATAATACTCTCTGTTGCTTCTTGCAATACTGGAATACATTCTGCGTTCACACCTATTATCTCTATCCTTAAGTTTAATTTTACTAGGCTAACTGCGTTTTATTCTTGACATCAACCCTTCTAGATTACATCTATGCAGCCCTTTATTAATTGCTTTCCCTACTTTCAATTAATGAGTATCATACTGAGAAATTTGGAACTGTAGATTGTTATGTCAAAAAACCCTAAGGATAAAGATGAAGAGCAGAGATGGGTGTGACTCCTAATACCCTTACCAAGAAAAAGAGAGGGGTGGGGGAAAGGTGTTTAAGATTTAGTTTTTCTTTTCTCATTATCCTCCTCTGTTTTGGTTGGTAATAAATCAACTTAATTTTCCCCAAGTTGAGTCTGTTTTGCCCATGATGGTAATTGCTGAATGATCTCCCTGCCCTCATCTCGAACCATGAGCCTTTCATTATATTTTCTCTTCCATGCCCATCTGAGGAGGGGCGTGACAGAGCAGCTGTGTTTAAGTATCTTCAGTTACTTCCTATCCCGTCGCTTGCCTTCATATACTCTGCTTTATATGGAAAATCCCTCATTTACACTTTTCTATACTTGTCTATGTATATGTTGTCACCTGAGATTAAATACATCATTTGTTACAAGTTCTCCTGAGATATAAAATCTCCCTGGGCCAAAGATCTTTTTACAAATAATGAGTGATCCTGAAGGTACAGCACTGTGGGTTCTCAGCCATCTGTCTTCTCACTTCTGACAGCCTCAGGAGAAGAAGGGCAGTAGTGACACTGAAAAAGCATCAGGAAAAAACATGAGAGAAGAAAGTGCCTTATAGAAGCGTTTTGCTATTTTCTTAAGTCTTAAAGAGTATTTAGTGGCATCTTAGCTAATTTATTGGTTTGACTAATTCAATTTCCTTTAATCATTTTAGGAATGATTTCGAAGAGTATTTTGACGTTGTGATCACAAATGCTTTGAAACCTGGTTTCTTCTCCCATACCCCAAACCAAAGACCTTTCCGAACTCTTGGTAAGTTGCAGTCGTGACTCCCTTCTCATCTACTTCCCTCTATCCAAAAAAAATCTAGCACTGGGGGGGGAAATGGACTCTAGACAAGGTTCTTCCAGAGACATTAGTAAAAAATTGCCTTAAGGCTGAGGAGCGCTGAGAAATCAAGGATTACAGTGCTGAGTACAATGAGAAGGCAGAGCTGTGACAGTAATTTTAAATGGCATTGGGAGTCAGATATTGCATCACTAATGAAAAAGTAAGAATCCTTTATTGTTTTGACAAGATCATACACAGAAAATGAAATTTAGTTCTGGGAAAAAAAATAGCAGAAATACTTTAAGAATTTAAAGGAGATTCAAGGAATGGTACAAATAAAATTGTGAGGCTGAAGGAAATGTTCTATGATGGAAATCTAACAGTATTAAATGTGTACTTTGGCTAAATAATGACAGAGTAAGCAAAAAGGAAGTTCTCCTGTACTCACTTAATTTAATTAAAACAATCCAAAACGTTTGGCAATGTTGTCCATTAGGTAATTAAGGTTGTAACAAAAGAGATTTACAAGAACAGTGTTCATTGAACTACTAATAACAATAGTAACATAGCTGAAGACAATTAACTTTTCGATATCTTGCTAAATACCCTTCTGATTAAGCGTAAGTCAGCAGATATTGAACTGTATTTTAGCATTTTATGACAGGAAAGTCAGCTGTTACAGCCCAAAAGAAATTTTGCCTGTGGAACTTTTACAGCAAAACTAGAATGCACAGCGGAAATACGTGTTGAAACTGCATTTTAATATTTCACCAATTTATATATGGGAAATATTAGTAAGAAATATCTTATATGTGATTTTTAAAGGATTAGTTCAAATAAGAAACTGCAAAGTTGACGATCTGAGAAAAAATAAGCTCAGAAAGGAAATTGAAACTATTTATATATGAAAGGAGGGAGGGCAAAAACATAAAGGATGAAAAAGGCTCAGTTCTGCAAGCATTTTATTTAGTTTCATATAATGCAAATTGAAAATAAAATGTAATTCACTTTGGATATTTTTTAAACAATCAGATTAGCCCAAGTTCCAAAGGAAATCCTGCTGTGTCCCTCTGTCAGTAATCCAGCCAGCAACTTTTGAACCTGTTGGCCGGTTTCAGTAAATTTAATAGACAGCCAGAAAGCTCCAAGATATTCCAACAAAGTTTTTGTGTGTGTGTGTGCAAAACAGAGCAGAACAGAGGGAAAAGACTTGAAATTACTGTCTGCATTGAGAGATATTGTGTGGCATTATCTTAATCACAGTTTTAGATTGCAAGTACAAATTTTCATGAAGCTATTTCCTTCTCGTGAGCTTCAAACAGAAACAGCATTCCCTGAGTCCTCTTACTGACCTACTGGTTTTCATTCACTTTATATTTTGACATTGCAAAGAGGCTTAAGTGAGGATCGATCACTTTTATTATGTGGATAGCTTGTTAATACAGAATAAAATGTAGTTTATGTTCTGGTGACCTCACTATCTAAATGTCCCTTATCTAAATAGATAAGGGACACAAACATAACTAAAGGAATCATCAGATAAATAATTTGCTGAAACTACTAACCTGCGAGTGGATTTTTTTTTTTTTTAATATATTTGTATTCGATTGATAGTAACTGGTTTCTTCTGGAAGACCAACCAGCAAAGAATTATACATATAGGACAGGTTTTTAGAGACACGTTTTGAAGTAGTGAAGAGGTTGTTTAAGACTATGAAGTTTAAACCATCAAAATGGGAGCAATAATATGAGAAAATGTCCAAAATATCAATGTATTTTTATAATTTATCTTTTCCTACTCTCCTTCTATGTTCCTTAAAACAAATGTATAGCTTCAGAGGAGGCACTGAGAGTTTCACCCAGTCACCACAGATAGAAAGGAACACGGTTTGTTTCTCAAACAGCATATAGTGGAGCTTCTAATACATTGCAGGGAGAGTGATTTATTATTATTTTTTTTTTAGTTTCTAGATGCTTTTTTAATCCTTTCTTTCATATCAGAACCACTGAAAATTCAAAAATTCAGTTTCTAGTTTCTGTCTTCCTTTTGTCATATAGATTTTGGGCAGAAGAAGAGTTTAGCCATTGTATTTCAGACCTTCTCTGAGAGCACTGGACACAATATCTCAGAGAGACAAAAATTCCTTATTTTTGCTTTGAAATAGGAAAAAAACTAGAGGTGGACATCGTAGTAGTTATTTCTTGAAGCACAAAGAGTAAACTTTTTTTTTAGTGTAATTTAGGGAGAAGTCTCCAGTAAGTGAAACAAAGCTTGTTCCTTTGATACAAGGAATTGAACTGAATTAACTAATCAATTCTATCCATTTCTCCGGGGCTGACTTTCAGCCATGTTCTTCAATCCACCCAGGGGTCTGAATTATAATCAATTCCTAATAATACCATATTCCCTTCTGTTCCAAGGGAATTGTGTTATAAATGGACTTAAAATATGGAATGTGTTCTTAACTTCAAACACCCAAGTGTTGTATTGTGTACTGGAGCTAAACTTCATTTATATGTAACAGGAGTCTTTCTGCAGATTAATAAGGGAAAGGTTTTGAAGTTTACTAAAGAGAAGGATAAATTCTTTTAAGTGTATAATTACAAAAAGGTGACTGTGTTAGTAAACATCTGAAGGAGGACAAGAAACAGGAATAGATGACAAGGATGGCATTGTCTAGAAATGTGATCCTGGATAACTGCTCTGCAGAAATATTTTTCCAGTAGACATGTAATTTTAAAACTAATCCATTTAGAAGCCATGAAAAATCATTTTAATTGTGCAATTAAAAATGCATCCCTGTGTCATTTGAGTCTCAAGACATGAGTCGTGTAAAGCAACCAAAACACTGTTTGAAATTTTAAAAGATTCATGTGACTGCTTTTTACTGAACTGGGGCACTGGAAGGCACAATAATTAATTATTTAATTTGCATAATTTTCTTTTGAAGTGCCATTCTGTTAAATGGAGGAACAGTTTATATGTATCTTTTCCAGTTTTAGAACAGCTACATTTATTTTTACCTGGCAAAACTGTTTTTATAGTTGGGGTAGCTTATATAGCAAAGCACGTAGTTTATGACAAAAGTGCTCAAAAGACTTTACTCCCATAATAAAAATACCCCATAATTTCCTTGTTATTCACAAGGTTAGATTTTCTTTTACACAGGGAAATTCTTTAAATGGTTCTTGAAAGTACTAATAACATCTTGAGCTATTGAATCTAAGAATCAGGTCAAAAATTTTTGTGTGAATACTATGTTGAGAATGCAGGATTTTCTTCGCTTTCAACAGCTATATCCAGTTAAAATAATATATCCTTCTGTGAAGGACTTGAAGGAATATGAATAGCAAATAAAGTTGTGACTCATTCTATAATCTGCAGTATACCAAGGTTTTTATAGCATTTCACAATGGAGCTTTCCCTTTATCACGTCTGTCAAATTTCTAGCCTGAATGACAGTTCCGATCATTGTTGAATATATATCTTTAGAATGCAAAAGCAAAATATAAATGCTAAAGGTAACCCTAAATTTCCTGAAAGCCTTCTTTAAGTCTAGTATGCACAGAGAACTCTCGCTTGGTCCTAAATAAGACATATATTTTATTTCCAGCTCAGGAACAGTTACTGTCTTTTTGATCTGTTTTTTTTGATAAACTGAAAATGTGTTGCTGATTGTTCAGTGTCTGAACGTACAGTGCCTATTTAAGCATGTATGTATATCTTCATATATATGCGTACATATACGTACAAGCTGAAAACAGTCCTACATACGGAGCGACAGTGGGTGCCATTTCAGTGTGAGATCCCGTGCTCTTATCCAATGCCCAGAGAAACAAACCTACCCTCCTTCTCCTGCAGAGTCGCAGGTTTTCAAAGCCCACTGTCAATTGCACTTCCAGGCTGTCTGCCTTACTCTTGCACTTGAATTTCTCTCCAGCTTGTGGTGCCTCTGCTGCAAGATGTAGCCCCCAATTTAGGAAATGCTTTCAGTCCTCCAATTTTTTACGATTCCCTGGTAACTGCTATTTTAACAACACACTGCAGAAGCCTTTTTCCTCCTTCAGTCATTCTTCACTAGCCTTCCAAAAATACAGGAAAATGCTATAAAATTAAAGGACCAATTAGAAAAGAAAATAAGGGGACAGGATATAAAATGACATACTTCTAGGCTGAAGACTGTCTTTGATTATAAGGGGCTGCAAGACTTCAGAAGAAGGAGATCCTACGTCTGCTATTTTTCTTCTTCCATCTTCTGTGACGTCTGGGCTTGACTGTTGCCAGAGATGGGATACAGAATGAGGTGGAGAATCAGAGCTGATCCTATATAGCTGGTTTTATGCACTTATATTCTAAGGCCTTTTAGAACGGAGGAGTGGGATCAGGAAGGGAGTGCCTTAATTTTCCTGGAAGTTAAATTCATAAGCCATATAACTTCTTTTTAGGTCATTCTTTTTATTTGAGACTTCTGTCTTTACTGCCAGAAGAATACCAAAATACTACCCAGCAAATATTTTAAAGATCTTCAGTAAAACTGTAGAATATCTATAAAAAAGTGGAAATTTTGAAATGGATGATATTTCACTGTTACAAGGGAATATATCATTTAGGTAGTCTTGCATTGTTCACTTATTTGAAGAACACAAATGCCATCTCTAGAAAATTCTGATAAAATTTTCAACCAAAACACGTTGATTTGAGTCTACAATATAGGTCAGTTGCTATAATTGCTACGTAATAGGTATCTCAGATGCTACCTATACAGTGAAGGCTACCTAGATAAGAAAAAGAACTTTTTTTTTTTCTTTTATGTCAGTGTGTGAGGTTAAAACTCAAGAAAGCTTATTTAATGCAGCTGTGTTTGCTGCCCTTCTTCTGGAGATAGTGCCTTTTCGATTCAGCCTGTCTGGAAATATTCTATATGAGGCCACATAATAAAGCATACTTGCTGCGAGCCTGTGACAGAGTGGCATATAAAGGT